TTGGCCATTTTCCAATGTCCATATTTGCCATTTGAGTTGCATTATCCAGATGATTTTCTTTCGTTCTTTCTATAGATTCCAATCATCTCTGAAAGTAGTCTACAACTTTTTTTTTTTCTTCTTTTTTTCCTTTTATGTAATATTCAATTTTCTGTAAAACGACCTGTATTGCCACTCCCAGTGCCAGGAATATGCTGAGCATGGAAATGGTGTCCTCCATGCAGCTGGCATTCTTGCAGTCACCGCACATGGACATTTCACACCACACTCGTACATCGATGGGAATAATGCAAAGTTGCCAGATGAGGTGGAAAAAAAAATCTCAATAGATTTGTGCACTTGCCCTTTGACTCAGATTTTTCCTTTACAATATGGTCACATTCCATTGAAATGCCAGACCAACATATCTTACCTGTCAGCCAATCACTGTCAGGCTGTCTTTTGCCGACATTCATGAGATGCAGTTATAGCTCTCTGTTTAAAGTATCATTTGTGTCTTTAAGTTAGTGTGTTGATATTAATGTAGAGGCATACAAAACAAAAGATACTTCAACAGATTTCAGTAATGTGCTCATAAAGGGCTAGTATGTTTGAGGATGAAACTATGTGTTAGGGGTTTGGGAGATGCTACAAAAAGGCCTTACTACTGTATGTAATATTAGGTTGGCTGGTGACATATGACATGCACCTGACAGCAGCCCTTATCATCATTCATTATCATTTGGGAGCTAACGCCAGTGGGGGCGCATAGCTGCATCCACCTTTCACTTCCGCCTACGAGGGTCCCTCATAGTGAGCCACCAGGCAGGGGCCTGGCTCATCTTTAGCACTTCACGACAGGTTTCATTGATCTGCCCAAGCCACGACTTTCTCAGTTGTCCCACAGGCCTCCTCCACCCAGGGTTGGGACATCCTGGTAGGGAGGATCATCCTGTGGGAAATAAGCCTGGTGGCCATATATCTTGAGTTGTGCAGGTAACAGATCCTGGACCATTCTCAAGGTATAACCCTTATACCCCATGATCAAGTGCAAGGATCTGTTACAAAAGGCGTCAAGACGAGATTCCAAAACACAAGATAGTGTCCAGGTTTCACTACCATATAGTAAAACTGGTAATATGAGGCCCTTGAAGACATGTAGCTTGGTCCTTTTGCACCGGTACCAGCATCTCCAGACACTCTTGTCGAGAGATTTCATGACCCCTGCTGCCAGGCCGAGATTTCATGACCCCTGCTGCCAGGCCAATCTGTCTACAGACTTCCTGTTCTGACAGACTGGAGTCATGAACTGCACCACCGAGATATATAAGGGTCTCCGTGATCTCCATGTTCTCACCACAAGTATGTGTCGACTGAACATGATCTAGCAGGCCCCCAAAATCCTGGATCTTGGTCTTGGCCCTGGAGACCTCTAACTCCATAGGCTTTGCTTCATTGCTAAATGTATCATGAGCCTCCACTAAGGATTCCAGAGAGTTAAATAGAATAGCAGCATCATCCGCAAAGTCAAGGTCTGTAACCTTAGTGTTGCCCAGAGTTGCTCCATAGTGACTTTGGAGAGTAGTTCTACCAGTATCCAGTCCATGCAAGTGTTGAAAAGTGTTGGTGTAAGAATACAGCCTTGTCTCACTCCTGAACTAACAGGAAAGAAGCTCAACAAGGCCCACCACACTTTACAGCACTTTCAGTGCCTGTATACAGGTTTGCTATTAATCCAATAATCCCTGTTGGAATTCCTCTTAGTCTCAGGATCTCCTAGAGTGATTCATTATACTCGGTATCAAATGCCTTCTTGAGGTCGATGTAAGCTGCAAGCAGCCTACGTCTGAATTCACGACAAGGCTTTACAATGACTTGAAGTACCATGATATGGTCTATTGTTGACTTACCAGGAGCGAATCCAGATTGCTCTGGCCTCTCGTACTTCAGCAGGTGTCTCCAAAGGATGCAAGTGAGAACCTTGCCTCGGTGATTGCTGCAGCCCCACTGATCCCCTTTCCCCTTCCAGAGAGGGATGAGCACACCCCTTAACCCATTACCGCCGGGGAAAATTAATAAAAAATGGGGAAAATGCTGTACTCATTTTTTATATTTTTGTAAAATATCTCTGTAAATAGATGGCTCTGCTAGTCCTGATTTCACCTTTCCTTGAATTGGCGGGAAAAAACGTATTCTTACTAGTGCTATAAATATAGATGGTGTTATTTTTAACAGCAAATTAGGATATTTTCGTAAATTGATGAAAAGGGTGACCGGGCGAGAGCCATCGTAATTGGCTCATTGGCGACTTAGTACAAGTGTAGCCATCTGTGTGTAAAAACAGTCAAACAAGTCGATTCACAGTGGACATGGCATGTACGTACATGCCATCCCCGGTGGCAATGGGTTAATAGGTCATGGGGAATGATACCAGTCTGACAGATGGGGGACAGGACAGCATGCAAGCCCCTTGTCATAGGTTCTCCACAAGCCTTTAACAGTTCAGATGGGATGCCACAGA